CCGTCCATCCGTCCATCCATCCATCCATCCATCCATCCGTCCGTCCATCCATCCATCCACTCACTCGCAAGTGCTCGGCATACTATAAAATGCCTTCGAGAAGGGGAATATTGGACTCATGCTTTTAGGTTCTCGCAAGGCTGGAGACCAATCCTCATTATTTAGTTGACTGAACAACAAAGAGAAAATGAAATGATTTCTAAGTCATGAAGATGCCCCCGGCGAATCCGCATCTGAGTCACACAGGTGAGAACTTTATGATATCAGCCACAGAAATGAGGATAAATGCAAATAGAAATAGTCCATCTACATATTTTAGTTTGTGAAATATATGCAATTATTTAATAAAATGAATATCTCCTGCATAAAAAAAATAACAATAAGCTTTTTGTTACATAAATACATCTTATTAAATATATTTCCCTCCATGCTTCAGGTTTTGCAGATTGATGTAATTGTAAATCGCTGAGTGTGAATGGTGTTTGACGCAATTCACATTCATTACGCGCTGGCGTCAGAGATCAATTAAATGCCATTTACACGGCTCAGCGTCTCATTGTTCTCCTGGTTTCTGCTTGAGGTGTGAGAACAATCAGACCCTGCGGACATGTGCGCTTCATGAAGCCCAAACCAGAACTGCTGTCATCTTTGAGCATTGTTAACATCATTAGCTATAGAGACATATTAACCGATGAGTTAATTTCCTGCCTTTTAGTATTTAAAAAAAAAAAAGTTGGCACAGATAGGTTCCAGCAAATAGCCTTGTATTTGTGAGTCTTCGACTTCTTTAAGACGCATCTACTTTGGGTTGCACGCAAATATCATGCTATTTTGAAAATTAGTAGGCTACACACGGTATTTACGGTAAAAATCGCGTTCTGATGGAATGTGTTTAAAAAAAAATCGATAACCACCTTCAGATTCCCCCCCACACATTTTCATTCTTAAATGGCCTAACTGGGAAAATGTACAGTAGCATACCTTGACATCGTTTTGTAGTGAGAGCTATATCATAAATAACATAGTCATTTAGGCCTGCGAAATTTTTTAAATAACACAATATTTAACCATCCATCCGTCCATCCGTCCATCCATCCGTCCTTCCGGCGAATCCGCATCTGAGTCACACAGGTGAGAACTTTATGATATCAGCCACAGAAATGAGGATAAATGCAAATAGAAATAGTCCATCTACATATTTTAGTTTGTGAAATATATGCAATTATTTAATAAAATGAATATCTCCTGCATAAAAAAAATAACAATAAGCTTTTTGTTACATAAATACATCTTATTAAATATATTTCCCTCCATGCTTCAGGTTTTGCAGATTGATGTAATTGTAAATCGCTGAGTGTGAATGGTGTTTGACGCAATTCACATTCATTACGCGCTGGCGTCAGAGATCAATTAAATGCCATTTACACGGCTCAGCGTCTCATTGTTCTCCTGGTTTCTGCTTGAGGTGTGAGAACAATCAGACCCTGCGGACATGTGCGCTTCATGAAGCCCAAACCAGAACTGCTGTCATCTTTGAGCATTGTTAACATCATTAGCTATAGAGACATATTAACCGATGAGTTAATTTCCTGCCTTTTAGTATTTAAAAAAAAAAAAGTTGGCACAGATAGGTTCCAGCAAATAGCCTTGTATTTGTGAGTCTTCGACTTCTTTAAGACGCATCTACTTTGGGTTGCACGCAAATATCATGCTATTTTGAAAATTAGTAGGCTACACACGGTATTTACGGTAAAAATCGCGTTCTGATGGAATGTGTTTAAAAAAAATCGATAACCACCTTCAGATTCCCCCCCACACATTTTCATTCTTAAATGGCCTAACTGGGAAAATGTACAGTAGCATACCTTGACATCGTTTTGTAGTGAGAGCTATATCATAAATAACATAGTCATTTAGGCCTGCGAAATTTTTTAAATAACACAATATTTAAAATGTTATTCCTGCCGTTTCAAACACGCATGATTTTTTTTAGATGCACTCTAAAAAATGCTGGGTTGCTTCAACCCAATGTTGTGTCAAATATGGACTAATTTTTAAATTAGCTTTTTAACCCAACAGTTGGGTTAGTCCATATTTGACCCAACATTGGGTTGAAACAACCCAGCATTTTTTAGAGTGCGAGTAGAATATCGATTGCAACAAATCAATGTTTTGTTTTGAAGAAAGTGGTCAGGCTTTTATCGCTGTGTGTGTGTGTGTGTGTGTGTGTGTGTCAGCGGGGTTTAAGAGGGGAGGGCACTTCCTATTCCCCAACCTTACATTCTCCATCTGCGATTGGCCCATTGGCGACTTTGGACCCTGTGGTCGCAGAAACGTGCAGTTCATCAGCTCAGTGAAGTTGAGCATCACGTAGACTTGACCTAAAGCTGAGGGGATGCTACAGTGACCCGATAAACACTGGCCACTGGTTTATGCTGTTTGGGGCCCCAATCAATGATCTATGTTTGCGGTGTGAAGCAAGAAGAGGTTGAAGACATCCTGGAGACATGGCTGAAGGTGAGGTCGTGGGTGATCTTCCAGTGGGGGGTCAGTGAAGAGAGAGGGGGATAAAGACGAGGGGGGTGGGACGGATCTCCTGCATTGTCTTTCAGATTTGGGGATCTTTACAAAGAGCTCTTCCCAGAAGCCCTGGAATTGTCGCGTCGTTACCGCTAAAATGTACCCCGAATCTTTTGTTTGTTCGTTCCTTCTGGCGTTTTACTCGGAGTTTTGAAAGTCTGAGGCTTTTTCAGTACTACTTGGGATTTATCTGGAGGTTGATGGGCGAGATGGGTGAGATGGGCTCAGTCTATGAGCAATATTACACAGGTGAGCGGGTGCGCATTTGTGCTTATCTGAGCGCGCACTGATAAATCAACTTTTTTAAATTGTGTGTAATTTAATGCTAAAATAGTGCTTTTTTAAAGAAAAAAAAGTCCTTTGATAATCTCTTTTCAACGTGTTGATATCACTGATGATTCACATAATGGAAAAGTAGCTGCATGCTTTGACTACAATATTCCCTATTTTGATTTATTGATGATTGTAAGACACTTCTTGAGGGAAATGGAATTCTAGAGTTTCGACTTTCATTGCTGTCTACAAAATCAGCGAAGAAATGAACCGAGACATTTTCCAAGTTACCTGTTGAACAGCCTATGGACGGACTGTGCGTTTAATTGCGGTTTTTTTTATGTAAACAAACGTTTTATTTTGGATTATAAAAGTATGCATTTGGACAGTGTGAAATAAGTGCTGAACAAAGAGAAAACACATGTTTGAAAGAGAAAATCCGTTCACGCGTGTTTTGCACGTAGCTTCTGGCATTTTCTCGCCAAGCGCGATTAATTCAGTACATGTAAGAGCCCTCGGGTTGATTTTTTTCGTCCACTTTCGATAGCGTGATATTTTTGTTTGTAAGGTTAGTTGTGATTTTCTCGTTTTTGTGATTCATCAAGGTGGCTGTGCAAAGACCGAGGAGGAGGAAGCCGCGAGCTCCGAGGAGGACTCGAGCTCGGTCCGTGGAAGTGGCTTCTGCAAATGGTTCAACGTGCGGATGGGCTTCGGCTTTCTGTCCATGACCCACCGGGAGGGCATCTGTCTGGACTCACCCGTGGATGTGTTCGCCCATCAGGTGAGAGCAAATGAATGCTGTCGCTTTAATGGAGCGGACCTGTAAGGCCTTCCTCTGTGCTAAATTAAATATTTACGGTATTGGTAGGCTGCATTTATAATTATTTTCTACCTTTTATAAAGCTATAATTTAGTGTTCGGTGTTAATGCACGAATATTGCCTGGATATAATTTTTTTTATTATATATATTTTTTCTCTTTCAAAAACAAACATACAGAGATACTTAATGTCAAACAGAACACAATAATGAAATCAATGAGTCATAAAATATTTTAAGTTCTTTACAGAAAAACTTAAAGCAAAAATAATGTCTATTACTCCCTCTTTTATGTACATGGACCTTCCCAAGAAGAATTAGCACCTTTAAAGCGTTATCAACTACATCTGATCCAGTATTACAGTTCAAAAAAAGAATCATAGATTCATCTATTTTAATTATTTTATAAAATGCATCAAAAACGGATGGGCTTCGGCTTTCTGTCCATGACCCACCGGGAGGGCATCTGTCTGGACTCACCCGTGGATGTGTTCGCCCATCAGGTGAGAGCAAATGAATGCTGTCGCTTTAATGGAGCGGACCTGTAAGGTCTGTGCTAAATTAAATATTTACGGTATTGGTAGGCTGCATTTATAATTATTTTCTACCTTTTATAAAGCTATAATTTAGTGTTCGGTGTTAATGCACGAATATTGCCTGGATATAATTTTTTTTATTATATATATTTTTTCTCTTTCAAAAACAAACATACAGAGATACTTAACGTCAAACAGAACACAATGATATACATCATGGAGGTTAAAACATTAAATTTGACAAATAAAATGTTTTAATGTGAGAGACGTTTGTATACATTTATTGTTCCCAGTGATTGAAATCAATGAGTCATAAAATATTTTAAGTTCTTTACAGAAAAACTTAAAAGAGGGAGTAATAGACATTATTTTTGCTTTATGTACATGGACCTTCCCAAGAAGAATTAGCACCTTTAAAGCATTATCAACTACATCTGATCCAGTATTACAGTTCAAAAAAAGAATCATAGATTCATCTATTTTAATTATTTTATAAAATGCATCAAAAACCAACATAGACACCTGCTTCCAAAAGTCTTCAGAATATTTACAGTTACAAAATAAAATGTGTATGCCTGAATATTAGATAGAGGCTAAATCAAAACCTGAATTCTTCTTCAGTCGAAACCTCTTTTTTTTTTCTACATCCATTTTTAGGCTGTAGCCTATAGGGTTTTATGGTGATCTTCAGATCCTGTGTTGGTTTGTGTGTAGATGGTTTTATTCATTTATGTATTTATTTATTTCTAGAGGTCTGGGACAATTTCTTAGAATTGCAAAAGCTTCTTTTTTTTGACACCAGGTTGTGAAGCTCTTGTTTTGCTTATAACTGGGACCTTTATTTAGTTATTTAACACGCATATATTGTCCAGTGGTTTTATTTTTGAATGATTTCCAGATTTAATCTATTTGGTTCTTTTGAAATGTCCACATTTCCGGTGGTCTTTATAAATGTAGAATGTATGTATTGGACTAAATTGAACTGAAGAGACCAGAAAGCTGAGATTCGTCTGCTTTAATTGTTTATTTAATATTCCTGCAAATAAACAAATGACTATTATTCTGAACATTGTATGGGATGCCAGTTCATGCGGTTTTAATTTTAAGGGGTTTTCCCCTTTCAATTTTAAATAGAAAGTGGGCACTCTGTTATATTATAAGTTGTTGTTTTAAAATATGCCAATTTTTTTTTTATTTCTACACTGTACAGAGGGACAATGAATAAAATATTAAAGGGAAAAAAAACGTACATTTTAAAAGTGGTCCCACTTCACCTTTATTTACTCTATTAGGTTGTATTCAATTTTAAATGCAGGCCTGAAATAGTAGGCAAATTGAAAATGATTGCTTCATTGTTAGTGTGTGTAGATTCGGGTGCTCTCCTGTAGATCAAACTGCCCCAAATGATGTTATTTCATGTTTGAACCGTGGTTCCGTGGGTTGTACACATGCTCACAGGTTCAAGTGCGGTCTCAGCATGTCCTTGTTCCTTGTCTGCTCTTTAACTCTGACTACTGTCTGCACCTTATAAATGAAGACAAAAAGCTCGAAAGTAAAACCTCTATGACCATTCAACTCAAAATCACTCAGATTTGTTCTGCAGTGATATATAACAGAGATTAGAGCATCTTACGGGCAGGCAGCCATACACAGTGTCCAGTGATCTCTCCGTCTCTCTCCAAGTAAGAGGTCTTTGGTGGCTCTCTGGGAGGATGAACGGAGGGTGTTGGAGCTTAGCACACATTGTCTTTGTCTCATTGACTGCACGTTAGGATGTAAAACTGAGATGGGAAGGTCAGCGTCGCATGGCTGTGTGGTAAAGGGATAGTCCTTCCAAACCTGTATGACTTTCGTTCTGCTGCTGAAAACAAAAGAAGATATTTTGAGCAATGTAGAAAAATTTATTTAATATTAATATTATAAACCAGCAAGCCCAGCCCAGATTTAAAAAGTAGCGCAAAATGAATGTAGCGCGTTACTTTCCAGAAAATAACTAAGTAATTAGTAACTTTTTTAGGGAGTAATGCAATATTGTAATGCTTTCCCCAGCACTGTTCGTAAATCAGCCAAATGGGTATAGTTATCGGTCTCGTCTCGGATCGGCTAGATATCATCCGATTAATCGGTTTGACGGATCGTATAAATCAGTGCATGCATTCAGCACAAATTGACCGTAACGACAAGAGCATGCACAAATGACAGGATTTTCATTTTGGGGTCAGCTATCCCTTTAAGATGTGTTCCATATTTAAATGTGTATTAACCCTTTAGGACGACATTTGTAGTACTGCGCAGTGTGAATTTGAGCTTGGTTGTTTGGAGGAAGATTTCTCGATGTTCTTAGGTTGTGTGGTTTTGATAACCAAGAGGTCATTTTCAAACCCACAGGAGGAAATCCTGCCTTCCTCAGACTAGAGAACCACTGAATGAATGGTGTTTGTGTGCAGAGATGACCAAAAAGCGAGGCGGGTGGAGAGAGATTTCATAATTAATGGTGAAGAATAGTTGAAAGACCTGCTGAGGGAGAATGTTGGGAGTGGAGATCAAGAGATTGGAGGAAGGGAGGGAGTATTTGGGGGGAGGGGGTTGTTCGCTGAACTCATTCATAAAAAAACTCTGTAGTAAAAGAGGAGGGCGAGTGGTAGAGAAGGATGGAGCTACGGATGGTTTCAGGAAGCCTTGGCGGGGGTTGGGAGGCTCTGAGAGATGGGTGTCAGTTAAACCTGACGTCGCGTGAGAGCCGAAGCGCGGACCACCTGGTGTAGCTAGCAGTGTTTGAAATGATCAGCCTCTTAGCACCTACATTTTAAAGGCAGTCAAGCTATTTTTCACCATGGGCTCAATGGGAAAATGTGCCTCTCACTATATTTTTGGAAAACTCAAAAAAAATATACCAGTATAGCAGAATACTATGTTATGACCAGTAGTCAAATTGTCAGGGGGGATGGTGTGGTGAAGATTCATTCATTCAGCCATTCAGCCATTCATTCATTCATTCATTCAGCCATTCATTCATTCAGCCAGCCATTCATTCATTCATTCATTCATTCATTCAGCCATTCAGCCAGCCATTCATTCATTCAGCCAGCCATTCATTCATTCAGCCATTCAGCCATTCATTCATTCAGCCAGCCATTCATTCATTCATTCATCCAGCCATCCATTCATTCATCATTCAGCCATTCATTCATTCAGCCAGCCATTCATTCATTCATTCAGCCAGCCAGCCATTCATTCATTCAGCCATTCAGCCAGCCATTCATTCATTCAGCCAGCCATTCATATGACCAGTAGTCAAATTGTAAATAATAATAAAAACCAGGGGGGATGGTGTGGTGAAGTGTCATTCATTCATCCATTCATTCATTCAGCCAGCCATTCATTCATTCAGCCAGCCAGCCAGCCAGCCAGCCAGCCAGCCAGCCATTCATTCATTCAGCCGTTCAGCCATTCAGCCATTCATTCATTCAGCCATTCAGCCAGCCATTCATTCATTCATTCAGCCAGCCAGCCATTCAGCCGTTCATTCATTCATTCAGCCATTCATTCATTCAGCCATTCATTCATTCAGCCATTCATTCATTCAGCCGTTCAGTCGTTCATTCAGTCATTCATTCAGCCGTTCATTCATTCATTCAGCTAACTTTACATAATGATTATACAATTTGTTTAATTTTCAAACGTTTTAATTTAAAAAAGTAAGTTTTTACTAAATGGACTATGATTTATAAGCTGTTTTCCTTGTGGAGCCTGAAATGGGCCGACAATGTCAAAAATGTAAACTTGCTCGGTAGCGCATCTGGTACAGCATTGCACTTGTGATGTGGACTCTGTGCGCTCTAGTGTGAATCCTGTGAAACCAGTCACGATTAAAGAGCTCAAAGGCTTGTAGAAACAAGCTAAAATCGCATGGTTGCTTCAGCAAATGCGTTTTAGTCGCATGTTTGCTTTTGTTAATACTATCAGTTATGTTTAGTGTAGGTGATACATTGTTTTCAAACCAGATAGAGCATTAATATTAGAGTGCTGTACTCCTGACATTTAATTTTCAAACAGCTGCAATACATACAACAACCAATGTACTGTAATAAAACCTTGTCAGTTTCCCGTTTATTTGTTTCAGATAAACCTCGATGCATTTTAAGTGACGCATTTTCGAGTTTTACTTTGAAATTGTCACCGAACATGCAAGAAGTAATGCAATATCATTTTGCAGAAATGTTTCCACAGGCATGTATTCGCAGTGAGCCTGAGCTGCTGTTATTTTACTGAAGCAGTTAGCCATAATACAAATCAAATATGTTTTAACTGTATGACTTGCTTTCGTCGATGCTACACAAGTGTATTTTTTTTGTAAAAAAATCATACAATGAAATTCAGTGCTGTTCAGTGTTGTTTGTGCCACAGTGTTCTTCAAAATATCATCTTTTTTTTTTTAATGCAGAAGAATGAAATGCATACGGTTTTGAACGACTGCGAGAAAGATGGTTTAATCTCTTTCACTTCATTAAACAAGAAAAGCAGTCCAGTGTTTTGCTCCGAGAGAATGTGTGGAATTTATTACAGGCCATTAAGAGTTTAATGTGTAAAAGACTAAAAACATTATCCCAAGGAATGTCCTGGCGAGAAGATAAGCAGTTTTATTACAAGGGCAGGTTTTAAGGTAACAGACCATCACCACCGCCAAAGCAGATAGTTCTCTAAACACCAAGGCTGGAGTCAACTTGATGCATGATCTCACAAATACACTAACTAGTCAGGTTTTTGGTCTCCAAGCGGTTGTTTGTTAAGAGTACAAGCGGAAGGTTGTTTTTAAAGGTAGATCCTTTCTCAAGCCCTATTTCCACGTGCCTATAGAGCAAGTATCTCAGGAATGTGAGCTTCCCCCACCTTTTCCCACTGCAAACTGGCTGAGATTTAACCAGATGGAGTTATTTTGGGGAAGCTCATCTGCCCGTCCCATTCATGCCAATAGCCACACTTTCAATGCTTTTTCATGAGAAACCGTGCAAGTACAAAATGTGCGATCAGGGCTGGATTTACCAACTGTGATAAAGGCAAACATTTTGGGCCCCCAGCGTATCTGTTAGCTGCTAAATTGGTCTGATGTGATCTCGATGTATAGTAAGTAATGCACCCTGAATGTGATGGGAGGCTGTTACATTGGTACAGCTGAATATAGTGTTGAGTAACATCATGTCAGCTAAGATGCCATTGTCTGGTTGGATTTTGAACGCAGCATGTATACTGCGTAAGATATCTTGCAAGATTTTGCCTGTGTAGGCTGCTAGCTTGAGCCTTCAGTTTCAGAAGCAGCCATTGATGATGCAAGTATTCAAAGTTAATTGGTAGAGACATCTGAGTGTTAAGTGACGAGGCGGTTTCAAAGGCAATGTAGCCACGGTATTGGGGGCAGGGAAGATGCCATTTTCACATTTCTTTCAGGACCGCAAACCTCCCGGACAAATGATAATGTTAAAGTGTTTTGACAAAACGTGACTTGATCAAATGTATTTCTGTGTAGATGGCACAAAGTGAAAATGTGCCGTGTACATCTATGGTGTGCTGAATCTGAAGTAGTAATTGCATTTTATTGCACTCAAATACAACATTTGAAACTATTTGTACTGTGAAAAGCACTATGTAAATATTTGATGAATATATTGTAAATATATATATATATTTTTTTTAACTGCATATTAAATATTTACAATATATTCAAGTCCAATTTTGTATAGCTCTTTTTAACAATACAAATGGTTTCAAAGCTGCTTTAAAATCACAATGTTAATGTTTAGAATATCTTAATATGTATATGCCTTGTAGTCGCATTTATCAGATTAAAGCTGAGCTCTAATATAGTTTACATTTTGCAATGGTACAAGAAATATAGCAGTTCTTTTTTTTTCTTTTGTTTCTTTTCTTTTTTCTTTTCTTTTCTTCTTTTCTTTTTTCTTTTCTTTTCTTTTTTTCTTTCTCTTTTCTTTTTTCTTTCTCTTATCTTTCTTTCTTTCTTTCTTTTTATTTTCTTTTTATTTATTTTTTTACTTATTTTTAATTTATTATTATTATTATTTTTTTACTTTTAGTTTATTATTATTATTATTATTTAGTTTTTTATTTTATTTTTATACATTTTTTTACTTAATTTATTATTATTATTATTATTTAGTTTTTTATTTTATTTTTATTTATTTTTTTACTTTTAATTTATAATTATTGTTGTTATTATTATTATTATTTATTTTTTATTTTATGTATTTTAATTTTATTTTTTTACTAATTTTTAATTTATTATTCTTATTATTTGTAATTAATTAATTTATTATGTATGTATTTATTTATTTATCACCATACATGAGTATTCATAATTATTACATATGTCATACATGGCCTAAAAAGATATTTACCAACTGCATATTTGCATGACTAGAAATTTACCTACATAAATATTAAACATTTAAAAAAAACTTCATGTCTAATGGCAGGAGAAATGGGCTGGTAATCATGAAAACATTTATAGCCCTACAAGTAATTACTTATACATAAATCACAGCATAAATATGATCCAAGCCTCTAAAGCACATCACATCTACCCCATCTCTGCAGAGCAAGCTTCATATGGAGGGCTTCCGCAGTCTGAAGGAAGGAGAAGCAGTGGAGTTCACCTTCAAAAGATCCTCTAAGGGTCTGGAGTCCTTATGGGTGACGGGGCCAGGCGGGGCGCCATGCGTGGGCAGCGAGAAGAAACCCAAGGGTGCCCAAAAACGCCGTTCAAAAGGAGATCGGTGAGTGTCGTTATAGATAGATAGATAGATATAGCTATAGATCACTTTGAAAACATTTTTGTTTTTTTAACTTATTTCTTGAAGATTATAGGGTAAAATATAACCAGGACATGTTCATTGTTTCTTGTGATTCTTCTGCAAAAACATTGAGATGTTCTGAGATGTTGTTTTGACACAATATCTCCGGTTCTGACCAAACGGAGAGCATTTCCTTCCCCCACCCTGTGTGTTGGCGACTTGACCTGCTGGATAAATAGGTTGTTTAAAATCTCATAGCTCAGAATTTAGGCTCACAGAGAGTCACCCGCCCCCCAACGGCAGAGTTGCAGGTTATCGATAAGCACCGTCCTCCGCTGCGTCTAATCACGCTGGTTGGCTGAGTGTGGATCCGGATCAAAGCGAGTGCAGCTTTCGCAATTGTGCTTGAATGACGGTGATTGGTTTTGCAGTAGTGCATTTTTTCAGTTCTGTGAGAGACCACAAATTCAACGTGTGCTAGCATAACATACTTTCTCCTGCTGTTTGTCATTGCTATTTCATCTCTCTGGATCTGTGTCTCCTGACGGAGGATCAGATCCTGTCCATTTAATTAATAACAGATGTAGGTGCCTGAGAAAGGTCAGAGGTGACTGCAGCCATGGCAACCCTGAGGTGTGATGTGTGTGAGTGGGGTGGGGGTGGGCAGCAGGGATCAAAGTGCAAAGGTCACGCAACATATTGAAACAAAGAGCCAAAGAGATGCCCCACCTCCTCTACACCACACCTCCTTCCTCCGGCCCCCACAATATAGAGAGCGGATGGGCTTAAATGCACCGGAAGCTTTCATTTAAATGAATCACTAACTCAAAATGGTGACTTTTAGTGACATTTATGCATTGTACTAAACTCCTCTTAGTACATGGTGCATATGTGAATCCAACATTATTTTACGCCCTCTAGTGGTCTTTCCTGCAAATAACACATTTGTTTTCCTGCACTATTTGCAGATGCTTCAACTGTGGAGGGCCGAATCATCACGCCAAAGAATGCCAGCTGCCACCTCAGCCGAAAAAGTGCCATTTTTGCCAAAGCATCACCCACATGGTGGCCAACTGTCCAATCAAAGCACAGCAGTTGTCCCCGGGATCTCAGGGAAAATCAACAGCCTCCACTACAGGAGAAGAAGAGGACATGAGCCACACCCCCTTCCCTCCCGACAGCTCTGATTAGTCGGGGAAGGTTTTCAGGGGAACACAAGCACCAATCAGAAAGCTGCTTTCAGAACTAACTCAGGTTTTTCTTCTTCAAACAGCAGAAATGAATGTCGCCGCTCACTTTTGTACTTTAGCCAGGAAATCTAAAACCAGATTACACTGATATTGAATGTTATGCTTGGAAAAATATGATCACTATCATATCCATCTTTATTTTTGACAGTCATCTTTGCGATCTGGGTATTCACACAAATGATTTGGGATGAACCAGATATTTCAGATGGATAATCATGAAATAGAGGGCAAATCTCACAAAAAACATGTCCAAGTCAGAATTTAAGCCCCCCCCCCCATACATACATTTGTCACAATGCTTGCATAAAGTTTGAATGATAATCTCTTTTTTTCTATTGATTTTTGGGTAAAATTTTGTAGTACACTGTAAAAAAACAAAAACACGGTAGCACCGTTTTAGGTTTTACGGTTTTAAATTAAATTTACAGTTAAATACCGTAATTCTATTAACTGATATAATGTTAATATACCGACCTACTGAAGTACTCAACTGCAGGAGGTGATGAGAAAGTCACATGATGAACCAGAGCCCATCACAAGCAGCTTTTAAATAATAACATATATAGAAGGTGCACAGTGCAGGTGGTGATGAGAAAGTCACATGATGAACCAAAGCTCATCACAAGCAGCTTTTAGATAATAACATATATAGAAGGTGCACCGTGTCATTCACACAAACACTAAACACCATCATGGTAACACACATGAAACTGAAATAATGCAATAGACATTCATTTAACAACATTAGGAGTAACACACAACCCTAATATACAAAACTGATAAGAAAAAACTAAGAAGAAACTATTATTTCAACAAAAAAACATCAAATGTGAAATATAACGCAGGGAATTCTGGGAATGTCAATTTACGGTTATTCACTGTAAATTATACGGTCTTTTTCACTTCCAAAAATGGTATACTACCGTAACATTAATTTCCAATACATGTAATGTCCAATACAGTTTTTCACCGTATATAGTAGGGGAATTTAGCGTTAACCATTTAACAGGTTTTTACTGTAGCATTTTTACAGTCTTTTACCGTTAAATTCACGGTCATTTTTTACAATGTAGATTAATGTGCTTGACCGGTTTTGTGAGATCTGCCCTGAGAGTGTGAAGCAAATGTGTGAGAGAAAGACTTTTATTTTCTGCCTTAGCTAGCAAAGTGTCTTAGATTTGTTCTGAAACAATCAAAATGCATCATGCTTACATATGGCAGTGAGCCTGGATGGTGGTGAAACTGGTGAAATGCATCACTCTCTTGCTTTTTGATGGCAGTTGTCATTCACCTGTACACTGGAGAAATCATACTGACTTACCTTTTTTTGATTTAAAATGCTGTGTTTGTGCATATTTTACCTCAGCCTCTCTGTATCATCAGTGGACATATTTAGACTGCACTGTCATCAGTTAGGTACTATAAGAAAGACACAGTGGCTTTCTTTGATTATTTAATGCTGTGTAATTGTAACAAAGGCTCGCTCTCATTTAAAGACATGGGAAATTCTAGGCAGTGACCTGAAGAAATCGACCAGATTCCCAACCAGAGCCAAGACAATAGCACATATTTTTATGATAATCTTGTTCCTCTTTTCTTATGTAAACGTCATATGAGACACTAATGATGTATCGGGTTTGTTGAAGAGGAGATCCTGACTTGATCTCACTTTATTGTAAATAACTGTAAACTTTTTTTTTTTAAACCACTGTTATTTATTTGTAGCCATTCAAACTGTGATGTTGCGATGGACACGGTTTGGTCTGTCTTAACAAGAGCTGAATCGTTTGGCTAATTATTTCATAGTTTAATAATGCTTTTAACTGTAGTAGGGAGTTGATTGACAGCTGGCGACTGGGATTCACGGTGCAAACTAAAGCAATAAGCCCCAAGAAGCCGTGGATTACAGTGAATTTATAACCGCTAAGGGGTGTTGTTAGGTATGATGCGAAGCAGAGTTAGCGGTTATAAATTCACTGTAAACCACGGCTTCACAGGGTTTATATCTTTTATAAAACGGTTATTCCATATACGTAGTAAGGTTTAACAAAATAAAACAGAGCCAATAAAGTGTAATGATAATAATAAAAACATTATTCTTCCACCAAACAATGTAGCTCCTCAGAAACAGTTGTGGTTGCAACGAAGTGGTGGCCAAGCAACACACCGAAGTAAACAAAGGTGTGTGTTTGTAGAGTAATTTACAACAGCTTCGAATGCGGCTCAACCAATCAGAATCAAGGACCGGAACTCTCCATTTGTATGGCCTTTCTTGTTCTAAAAACACTGATTTCAGAGTTTTAACGTTGGATGTGGTTTATCCCCATGACTGCTTGAAGTTCATGTTTGTTCTGGTTTTGACGGAGAGCAACTGAGCTGTCAAGCTTCACTGTGTTTGAGGAAAGCATCTAGTCTTTGCCAGATGAAAGTGTAATTGTGTATACTTCAAGCCTTTTTGTATATTTGACATTAGTCCTCAGACTTTCAGAAACTCAGTGGAAAAATAAAATACACATTTGTACCATTTCTTACAACAAAGCAGGAACCAGTTTGGTTTCAAGCAGAGAATGTGTTGAGCACAGGTTGAATGGCACAATGGTTAGTTAAACCTCTAAACTAACAGCGCGTCACTGCTCCACAAGAGTGTTTTGCAGATTTTTTTTTTTCCCCCTCTGAATAATCTGAAGTGTTTTCGTATGTTATTGCATGGGAGTATGTGTTGGAGTAGTTGAATATAGTGTCTGGTGGATGGCTCTCGCCTCAAACAACTCGTGGAAAAGTTTTCAGTTTGAGGGATGTGAAGGTTTCTTTCTCATTGGTAGGATTGTATTCATGCCATTATTGTATATTCATTTCAATATTTTATTGTATTGTTTCTTTTTCATCTTTATTTAACGTGAGAACAAGATACAGAACTTGTTTTGAATCTATACAAGTCTACCTCAGGGTGTGTTGAAATATATTAAATTGACATGTTTCCAGAACATTGTCCATTTAAGTGTGTGTGAGAGAAATGTGTGCGTGCTTTAGTTTTATGTATTTCATTTTGGACATGCGATCGTTTGCCATGTAGCTGCACTGACTCAGTTTTGGTCAAATGTGTGTGAATGTTTTGATTTACATTTAGACCAACTCACAAGAGAAGTGCAACTGTAATATTGCTCCAGTTGGCTTATTATTGTACTGTAATGTACCCTGAGATTGTTAACTCAGGACTATGTTAATTATTTCTTGTTGGGTTCTACTTAATGAAGAGGATAATCAATGTTGGTGACCTTGATTGGTTTATTATTCTAATTGTTGCTCACTGATGCTCAGGGCTCCAGATGCTGCTCAAATATGAAGCCCTGCTCAGGTTCAGTTAGTGTTTCCTTCAGTCATCTTGTGCCGTCATTCAGGTGCGGTCAGGACTGTTTGTTCCACTTTTTGTGTGATGAAGGCAAATGCGTTTAGTGTTCCAGTGACCAAAGAATGTAGCCACATTGAATATGGCAAACAGATGGCATGGAGCTCGGTTGATGGAGTGATCCATGTTGATTGGTTTCTGAGAGAATGGTTTCATGTTCAGGTCATCGTGACAAAGCATGCCAAGAATATTGTGCCCAAAAATCTGCTTTAGTGTTAACATTGACAACTGCTTTCTAGTGAATAAATATCTTTTTATGATTATGCTGGCATTGTGTTTCTTTCACAGGTGGTTTGATTGTGTGGCACATTGATTAAAGAAGATTTTTTTTGAAAATGTGCTGAAATTTTACTTGACCACAGGCCATCCAAAATGTAGATGAGCTTGTTTCTTCATTGGAACAGATTTGGAGAAATTTAGCATTCTTCACAAGATGTTAACTGATGGACTGGAGTGGTGTGGATTATTGTGATGTTTTTATCAGCTGTTTGGACTCTCATTCTGACGGCACCCATTCACTGCAGAGCATCCACTGGTGAGCAAGTGATGCAATGCTACATTTCTCTAAATCCGTTCTGATGAAGAAATAAACTCATCTAAGTCTTGGTTTGTTGGATTATGGAAATAGTAAATATATATATATATACCGGTAATTAACTTTATTGGGGCAAATATGTTCTGTTGGAAACAATGCCTGTGATGTTCATGCTTTATTTTTCTCTATTTTAGATCATCATTCTTTGCGCACAAAATAAAATTGTTGGATTTTCATAGATTAGTATTGAAATCTGGGTCTGGAACAAGGCTAAAAAAATTATGAATAAGAGACATTTGCAAAGTAGTAAAAAAATAAATAAAATAAGAAGGACTTGAATAAAATTCAACCCCATAAATAACACCTCGTATAATTTTTAACACACACACACATATATATATATATATATATATATATATATATACATACAGGTGTATCTCAACACAATAGAATGTCGT